CCCCCCCCCCCCCCCGCCATCAGCTGTTCTGCTGTGCCCGGATATTTAGATTAGCTAGAAAGCAGGAAATTGTTGGATTTCTTGCTTTCTAGCTAATCTTTAGATGTTCGGCTCCGCTTTTAAGCAGAGCCAAACCTTCCTTAGGACAGAAGCTTCTATTATTCAATGCAGACTCAGGTAGCAGATGGCAGAAAGATAGACCTCTGAATGAAATTGATTGTTGAGCAACTCAATGTGCCTGTCTGTTTTGCCTGATTTTGGGTAGAAGTTGCTCTTTTTATTATAAAAAATTCAATATTTACATACATGGTGTGTTGTGAGTTACTTTTGTGAGTTTGCTTGCAAGCAAAGTTTATGTGACAGATTCAGGTAACCGATGGCAGAAAGAGTGAATTTGTGATTCTGTGAGCAACTCAATCTGCCTGCCTTTGCCTAATTTGGGGTAAAAATTGCTCTTTTTTAAATAAAAAAATCAATGTTTACATAAATATAATATTTATATACAAGCCATGCCCAGCCAGTCACATGACCACCAAACCACACCCACAAATTAGGCCAAGCCCACAGAACAGGTTGTTAAGAAATTTGAATCCCACCCCTCCCTCTGTGTGTTTGTGTGTGTGTGTGAGAGAGAGAGAGAGGGGGGGGTTAGATCAGATATCTCTCCCACCAAAGTCAGCAAGCCATCATCAGTCAAAATTCATATTAGTGGTCCCTGGGATTTAAATGAGTTTGGTCCTTGAGGTCCGACCCCTCAGGGGTCGACCCCTGCTTTAGAGAATAGCGTGACTCCTTCCTCTCTGTGGCAGCCCTTCAGATATTGGAAGACTGCTATCCTGTCTCCCCTGGTCTTTCTTTTCTCTAGACTAGCCAAGCCCAGTTCCTGCAACCGTTCATTGTATGTTTTAGCCTTCAGTCCCCTAATCATCCTGGTTGCTCTTCTCTGCACTTTTTCTAGAGTGTCAACATCTTTTTTTATAGTGTGGTGATCAAAACTGGATGCAGGACTCTAGGTGTGGTCTTACTAAGGCTTTATAGAGTGATATTAGTACCTCAATTGATCTTGATTGTATCCCTCTGTTAATGCAATTTAGGATTGCATTAACTTTTTTGGCTGTTGCTGCACACTGTTGGCCCCTACCGTGTTTCTCATAAAATAAGGCCGAGTCTTATTTTTTTTTGAGCCCCGAAAAAACGGCTAGGACGTCTTTTTGGGGGTGACTTAATTTCCTCTCCCACAAACACCCCAACCTAGAGTGCCTCATGCGCAGTCACCTCTCCACGAGGGCACTTCTATCGGCTGATGGAAGCTCCCCGAAGGCAGAGTCACCAGCCGCTTCTATCAGCTGGTAGAAGCAGCTTTGTGGAGTATTGAGTGCGCATGGGCCGCTCTAGGTGGGGGTGTGCGTGGGGGAGGAAATCTATCGACCGGTAGAAGCAGCCTCAGGGTGAGCGCCCACACTCCCCTTGCCACGAAGCCATTTCTATCGGCCAATGGAAGCTCCCCAAAGGCAGAGTCACCAGCTGCTTCTATCGGCCGGTAGAAGTGGGTTTGTGGTGAAGGGAGTGGGGCGGGGGGGCACTCTCCCTGAGGCTGCTTCTACCGGCCGATAGAAGTGGCTGGTGACTCTGCCTTTGGGGAGCTTCCATCGGCTGATAGAAATGGCTTCGTGGCGAGGGGACTGTGCGTAGGGCACTCCTGTCAGGAGTGCTCTGGGGGCAGCCATGCCTCGCCCCGAAGCGGCTGGTGTCTCTTCCTTCGGGGAGCTTCCATCGGCCAATAGAAACAGCTTTGTGGTGAGGGGAGTGCGCATGGGCGTTCGCCCCGAGGCCGCTTCTACTGGCTCATAGAAGCGGCTTGTGACTCTGCCTTTGGGGAGCTTCTATCGGCTGATGTTCTATCATAGTAGATTGGGATATTCTACATGCAGGGCGCTCCTAAAGGCAAGTTTTCTCCCCCCCCCTTCCCCCCATTTCTCTTCATCTCGTGTAGTTTTAATGAACGATGTGAGAAATGGCAGGGAAACGCATGGATTAAATAGGCCTAAATTTTGGGGGTGGGGCTTAATTTCACCTCCTGCCTAGAAATCATACTGGGCCTTCCTATTGGTGGAGGCCGTATTGTTGGAGAAACAGGGTATTTAGCTGGTTGTCCACTAAAACTCCAAGATCCCTCTCCCAGTTCCTGCTATTGAGCTAGGTTTCACCCAGTCTATATGTGTACCTTTGGTTTTTCTTGCCTAAGTGTAAGACTACTTTTCTCTACATTGAATTTCATTTTGTTAGATATGGCCTCGTGTTTTAGTCTGTCAAGATCCATTTGGATCTTGAGCCTATTTTCTTGGGTGTTAACTATTCCTGCCGGCTTAGTATCATCTGCAAATTTGGTAGGTTCCCCTTCTATTGCCTCATCTATGTTGTTAATGAAGATATTGAAGAGTCCTGGGCCTAAGACGGAACCTTGTGGCACCCCTCTGCTTACTTCCCTCCATATAGACTTAGGATTTAGGATTAAGGACTACTTGTTGAGTACGGTTTGCCAGCCAGTTGTGAGTCCATCTAGTGGTGGTGCTATCTATCCCACTTTTTTGTAGCTTACCATAAAGTAGGTTGTGGTCTACTTGTCAAATGCCTTGCTGAAATCTAAGTATATTATGTCCACAGTATTTTTCTCATCTACTAATTTAGTCACTGTGTTGAAGAAATAAGATTGATTTGGCATGATCTGTTCTTAACAAACCCGTGCTGACTGCTAGTTCTTACTTTACTTGTTTCTAGGTGTTTGATGTTAGGCTGATTGGTCTATAGTTTCCTGGGTGTTTTTTTTCCCTTTGTTGAAGATGGGAACCACATCAGCTCTTTTCCAGTCCTCTGGTAGTTCCCTGGTGCTCCAGGATTTTTGAAAGATATGGTGCAGTGGTTCTGAGATGACCTCTGCCAGCTCCTTTAAAACTCTGGGATGTGATCCTTCAGGTCCAGGTGATTTGTTTTCATCAAGATCAGACAGGTCTTCTCTTACTATTTTTTTGCTTATTTTAACTTTTATTTCTGGTCTGTCTTTTACAGTTATGTTTTGGGGGTTGAGCACTGGGCCCCAGGACCGCGGAGGAGACACCGCAGGCCACCTGGGAGGCACGGCCGCCAGGAACCCTCGCCCAGCACAGCGGGTCTGGGCTAAGGCCGGCCAAGGCCTGGAGCTCCCAGCCCCGCCTTCAGGGACATCGGCTTGTCTGCAAGGTGTGGCTCGGCTCCTTTGAGCGAGGGCTGGCATTGGCCGGGACGAGGCGCCGGGAGCCCCAAGGACAAGCTCGGCCTGGCCGCCTCCAGCAGAGGCTGCCTGGGGAAACAGTCGCCGGCTTGCCTCGGCTCTTTCCGCAGCTTCCCCCACTGCAGACGGCCGCCTGCCCGGCTCCCCTCCCTGCGCAGCGGCCGCCTCTGGGGCGCCCCGCAGCCTCCAGCCGAGGGGAGGGGAGGGGCCAGCAGACGGGCCGGCAGAGGAGGGGGCTGCCCGGCCACAGTTGCCCGTCTGGGCCGCGCCGCGGCTGCCTTGCCAGGGCGGCGTGTGGGGGATCCGCGCTCTCGGGACTCGGAGCCGAGCGCCCGCCGCGGGGTTGCGCTTCCCCGGCTGCGCAGCTTGGACGGGAGGGCGGGCAGGGCCGGGGCCGGCGGGGAGGGCGGACCTTGTCGGCGAGGCGTCGCTTCCCTCGGCCGGCATCGGCGCGGGAGCCAGAGCAGCCCGGCCCCCACCCGCTGACCCTCGATGCAGGAAGCGGAAGACCCCCGCCCGGCGCCCTCCCCTCCATCCGGGCTCGCGCCGCGCCCTTCCCCGGCGGACGGCAGCTCCTCGCCGCCTCCTCGCCCTCGGCTGGCTCCGCGGCGGCGGCGGCGGCGGCTCTCCGGTAAGCGGGGCGAGCGGGGGGTGTCGGACCGCGTGCTGCCTTCGCGGGAGAGATGCCGGGGAGGCGGAGCGCGCCGCCCGCCTTCTCCGCTGCCCGCCGAGCGCCGCCGGCCACTCGGCTCGCGCGCCGCCGCTGCAGCCGGCGCAGGAGGGCTGGGGAGGCTCGGCCGCTGCAGCTGGGGCGGCGGGAAGGGGCGTCGCCGCCTCTCCTGGGTTTGAGGCGGGCCAGCAGGAGGCGAAGGCCCGGCCGGGCGATCTCGGCCGGGCGTCGAGGCGCAGCGGCCTCCCTGGCGCGGCGGGGTCCGGGCGGCTGGGCGTCGGCGCTTGCGAGGGAGGCCCCCGCCGCGGACGGAGCCTCCTGGCCTCAGCCCCCGCGCGCCAGGCCCGGCCTCGGAGGGGCCCCGGCCGGTTCCCCCAGCGGCCCCGGGGAAGGAGCCCCGATCTGGAGGCGTCTCGTGCTGCGCTTCCCTTTTGTGCCGGGGCTGGAAGGGCTAAGCGGGGAGCCGGAGAAGAGGCTGCCCGGCGGAGGACGGGCGAAGGGCTGGCAATCGGCTTTCCAGCTGGGCGATGGGGCGATGGGCCCCCGAATAGGATAGAAAGCCGTGCTCGCCCCCCAGGGAAGAGCAAGGGAGGGACGGCGGGGCGGGAGGCTTTGGAGCGGGAGGTGCAGCTGAGCACCTGCAGAGAAGGGCGTGGAGGTGTGAGCGTTTGGCCGGCAGGCTGGCCGGTGGAGGAGCAGCTGTGTGCCTCGCTTAGCCGCTGCACGAAAGCTGCATCTGGGTCGCTGGGAGAATGCCCTGATGGTGACATTGCACAATAGAAAGTTATCATTACATATTATTAGGCAGATGCTGATTCAAAGGTTCCAAAAGGCAAATGAAGATTTGCACAGGGCAGGGCAGGTTTATGCCTGACAGGGTTGGGAAATCCATAAATGTGACTTGGATGCTGGTGATATATGATATTAAGCAGAGCGCAGATCTGAAAATGCGTCTTAACAGTACCGAGTTTGTGCTTGATAGGGAAAATACAACAAACAATTCACCATAAACAAAGAAAAACTAAGAAATGAATTTGTATCCCTTGGTGAAGATGGGAAAGGGGGCACATAAATTTCAAAATGGCCAAATTCTTAGTAGGGTAGTTTGGGGTCTGTGGCATGAAATGAATAGTTATTACTTATTAATCGAATTGGTGCAGCGACCTGTGTTTTATTATCTGCATTGCAAAATTGGGAACATTTTAAGAAAACAAATGCTGGGGTTGTGGGGGGCAAGCAGGGTTGGTTGTGGTTTAAGGAAGGACCCCTTGCAGTGTAGGAGATGAATATTGATTAGTCTTAAGTGAATTTTCTTTTCTTTTTTTTAACTCTTCGACTTTAACTCTTTTGGCTTATTGTTCCTTGTTCTCATATGAAGTTTCTTTCCCTGAAACGAAACAGCAGGATGGAAATGGTTGCAGGCTGTCTCAGGAGTCCAAGGGCTAACATCCCTTGGTCCCTGGCGACTGTTTCCAAGCACAGCTTCGTGTATTGTATGAATCCAGCCATTGGTGCAGCGTGTACTTGATATATAGGACATCCTGGGGAGAAGGTTTGTTGGGGAAAGGCCCCCCCCCCCAGGTCCCTTAAGACTGACATCTCCTCAGGAGAAGAACCCAGAGGCCCACTGAGCCTTCCTGCAGGGGAGGGGGCCGTGTCTAGACCCAGAAGAACCTTTGGGGTTAATAGGAAACGTTTTCGTGAATTCCAGTGTTCAGATCTCTGATCACAACTGGGCCAGCACGAAGGGAACTCATGTGGTCCTGTGGAGCAGTGCTGAAGAACATGGAGCTTAGACAAAGGAGAACCTCCAGCCAGCTGACTTCCTCTTTCCCCAAGGAGCTGCATTCACACATTACACTTAAGCCGTGGGTTTGGTAATTTGAATAAGCCATAAGTTTTTCTTTTTTTAAAGATTTTTTATTTTATTTTTACAACAAACATAGACAAACACAAACATAAAACATCAAATAAAATCATCTTTCCATTATACAGTGTGTCGGTTGGTTATAAGTTTTTCATACAACACACTAAACCATGAGGTATGGTTTGCCCATCCTGTTGGTTAATCCAAAACCAATCAGACTGCATTCAATCTTACCAAGCAGGTTTACAAAGCTATTTCTGACAGTGAGAACAATGAACCTTGCTTGCCCTCAGAAGTTGTGGGAGCTTCATCCCTGGAGGCTTTGAAGAAGAGACTGGACGGCCATCTGTCAGAAATGCTTGGGCGGGGGGGTTGGACTAGATGACCTACGAGGTCCCTTCTGACTCTGTTATCTGCTATGGTGTGGTTTTTGGTTTTACCTTTGCAATTAGCCATGGTTGACAGTGTGGGTGTCTGTGGCAGGGAGAGGTGACCAGGTGTGCCCCCTGCCTCTCGGACCTGTGTCCAGCCTCAGGTTTCAGGTCCGAAAGGGCGAGGTTTGCATTCTGCAACCCTGATCTGTTTTTCACCTTTGCAGCAGGCTCTGCTGGTTTAGAGAGGTGATCCTGAACCCCAGATGTGCCTCCTTGGACCCACAGCAGCAACCCCAACTCTTCTCCCCCCCCCCCCCCATGTGAATTGGATACTCAGGGGAGGTGGTGCTATGTGAGGATGGCATCATTCTTATTTTTAATCCAGGAACTATTTGGGATATGACAGGATGAAGTGTGAATGAAAGTTAAAATAACAAATAATGAAAGTAATAAAATTAGTGATTACGTTTAACCTCTCACCCACTTTAAAACATTTTTATATGGCTGCACCTCCTTTAATTTGAAATATTGTCAGGTACTTAGCAAACCTGAATGAACTCAAAAAATGCAATCTTTGACTGGAATGAACTGCTCAACCTTTTGCACCAGAGTTCCCTTTGCGGCTTCTTGCCCTGCAGGGACTTTTCATTTCTGTCCTGGTAGAGAAAATACGGTTCTGCTCCGGAGAT